CTCGCTTTAAAATGCTTTAAATCAGACGAGAACAGATGGAGACGTGACGAACCTAAGGTCATTGATCGTGTTTCACATGCGCCAGTATGTTGTTTGGTAACATTGAACACAATGGCGTCGTCGGATTTTTTTATTTGTCAACTCACAATAAGCGACTGCGAGATATTGCGCATGAACGTGAATACCAGCAAAATATGGTGCGCAGGGAATTTCTGTGACTCGAGCATTATTTAATGCCCAGTGAAACTTTACTTAAAGTTCCTTGAATGCTGATCTAAAATGCATACCCGGTAGAGGACGATTCCGAATATTCTGGGGCAACAATCAGACGATTTGCGCAGAGAATTAAAATCTGTCACCAAACGCCGCTGGAATCAAACACAATAAGCGTACACTATCGGAAAATCAAGGAGAAAAGTAGAAAGTTCCTGCGAATGTGGGTATATCTGTTGTGGCTAGCTTGCACGCGATTTGAATGTTTGCTAATCCCGTTTGTGGAGCTCGTTGGGGATATCGCGCATGCAAATAACTGAAAGGGGCAGAAATTAGCTTTGAATAGCACTGTGTAGGAGTTAGCAACCTGGTTGGTGGCAACAAGGGACGCCAGCTTAGAATTCTGGTCTACTCATGGTGACCTCGCATCACTTCACCATAAACTGCGAGCTATTTTGGAAAATTCGGGCGTCATGTGTAAGATACTCCCTCCATGGGATCGTTTTAAGACAGGCGGGACGTAGGTAGAGATAATCGTGGAAATAATAGAGGAAAGCGCTTGGAGTGGTTAGATGTCGAATGACAATCTTCCGATGGCAACCATGAGACTACTGCCGAGAGTGCTGATGTCCGAGAATACCGCAACGAGATTGAAGGTTGAATTTTCCACGCGGCATTAGAAACGGTCTGCACACGGCGCTACATCTACTGACACTGTCACTTCCTCACCAAAATTTGCAGAACGCCGGTTGTTGATGACGCATGTTATGCTGAGAGATTTCAGTGACAGCGACAACCCACGACGCGAATTGCGGATATCAAAAGTATTTAGCATTAGGTATCACAAACAACCTATATAAAAAATTTCGCGCAAATGTTGATAGTGCACTCAACGCTCTGAGCTGGTGAACACAGATTTCAGCGGAAAATTGCCTCGGTAATTGATTTCCGAGCGCATATTTTGTACGGTGTGCCAGTATACATTATGCTTACGTCGAAATTCTGCTCAAATTAACACGACTTTTATCTTGTTCAGCAATAGATTTGTCGCCAAAGGGCGACTGCGTACTGATCGCCACAAGGCCTATTTTTGCCTCATAATGAGGTGTCATATTTTTGAAGAATCGTGCAAGCACTGGCTTTGTGGTAATGGAGGAATGATATGCACTATCCTATCCATGCTTCATTTGAACAACCTCAAA